ATCAACGCCATCCAGGTCCAAACATCTGTTAGACCTGATATTTACACGGGGTATATCCAATATACGTGCATCTGTGGGCCTTGAGTTTCCGGGGAGCAACCACAGAGTGGTATAATGCTCGCTGTTTGCAAACATCCCGGCAATCTGTACGAGTAGATCAGAGGCCATTGAGATATACCGGCCGATAAGCTCCATAGACTGGCCCATATTTGCCACGATTATTCGAGCAAGGAACTGGGAACAGTTCCTTCTGTCCGACTCCCTGGAGCAATCGCCCGCAATATTTTATGGCGAACTGCACTATTGGCTCCATTTACTCCTTTAAATAAAAGTTCAGGAAAAATTAGGAGACAATCTAAGCTGTATGCAAGGTTGAGGCAACTACGACGTTCCTACTACAAGACGTTCAACTTTGCGCATGTGCTGAGAGCCAACGAGATTGCGAGCCAGCTATCTTCCAGGTCTGTATTGATTAAGACATCCCAAGAAAGAGCAGCCATGGCCAGTGCAAACATAGCCAAGCACCTCAGCTGGCTGCTGCGTTCTCGCACTCCTCATTATGGAGCAAAGATCACTTCCATACGCGTCGGCCCTTGCAAAGCAAGTGAAGATCCACGGACTATATGTGAGATGTTCAACTCTTACTTCAAAGAGTCCCAGTGTGAAGAACTGTCCCCGGTCACTACTGAGCTGGTTGTGTCCACAAAGAAGCTGCTGTTTACTGATCCGTGTTCCGCTCGCTTCTCGTCGTATTTCGCCACTTATGATATACGTGTATATGCGATTTTTAAATTACAATTACGTGCATAGGGGTACAATAGTTCAGGCATCGCCGCATTTGATTGACTGCATTTCACATGCATTCCTTTCTTCTGTCTGTGTGGCTGTCTCCGTTCGTTTCCCCTTTCTCCGGAGTCTGTCACAGGTACGGCGACACGCACCCAAGGAATTGTCCTCCGTTTCGACAACAATACAAGGCACAAAGTTCCTCTACCTGGACATGAGCGGAGAATTATCAACTTTTTTACAACTTACTAACCGGACAAATCAATCAATATCTTGCACTGATACACTTCTTCCGCAGCATGAACCACTGAGTCCAATTTACCTAACAATACCTCTTCCACATATCTCTTGACTGGAGGACTTTCGACTACGGAAAGCACATTCTCCTGCCAATACGAAGCTTGAACAACCGGTCATTCTAAGCTCTTCAATCCGCTTTGACCGCTCAAATGTCCGTGGTTTCCCCTATCTCTAATCATTTTCACTACATACCCCGGGGGATCTGCGATTCTTCCTTCGGAACCTATCCTGTCCTCCAAGACTTCAACATATTTCAACGTATATTCTTCGAGGCTTCACGTGATTCTGCAGATGATCAACATATCATATCCAGAAAGAAGGCTTAGTTCCTGACCTACAGATCTGGAACCGGATAGGACCCAGGCACGCAATGGCCACTCGCATAGCGCATCAGTCAGCAGAAAAATGGGACGCAACTTGACTGCGAATAACGGAGCAAAAGAACGTTCAACAAGAAACATAGCCAGTTACAACTTGCCATTCAATGGATTGGCAGCAGTGTTTCAGGACGTGGTGGGTTTTCGCCTGGCAAGCGTTCTCCCTATAAAAAGCCGCAAATGTCCGTTTAACAACACTGCAACGTGGCGAATGTGACTCGCCACCGAATAAAGTCACAGCCCAAAACGTTACACTGGCAGCTCAATTAGAATCATCATACTGGATAGCTTGCTCTTCAATTATCTTCCAATGGATCACTCAGGATTCTTTATGTATTATTTCTCGAGGTATGACTGCGATATATGGCAGAGCGATTATGTCCAAACAAATGGATCCCGATCCCACTACAACCAAATCGCTCTTTCGCATGTTCACCATCGCACAGTTCCAAGCATGGACATATGAACAATGTTCTAATGTCACTACAGTTCCCATAAAATGTCTGTACAGCTGTACATACCTGGTCATGCCTCAATTGGCGTGCCTCGCATAGTCGAGAAATAATATTTATTTGTTTATTTATCTAAAAGGCATCCGTTCCGCTATCAAAACCATAAAACCATCAACCAAACTTGATCCTGATGGAATTCCACCCATACTACTTAAGAATGGGGGGATGACCTTTCCATACTCCTCTTGAAACTTTTCGCACTCTCTATGGAGAAGGGCCAATACCCATTGGCTTGGAAGCACTCTGTAATCACACCGCGCCATAAAGGTGGCTCCGTACAGGAAGTCAGCAACTACCGACCCATAAACCACACATCTATTCTCTCACGTGTGATGGAGAAATCGGTTAAGCGTGCGCTTATGGCCTGCTTGAATGCAGGAGGCCACGTTAGCAGGTCACATCATGGTTTTCTAAGCGCACGATCCTGCGCAACCTGCCAGCTTGCTTTTCTCAACCTGGTCACTGGCGCGATTGATTCAGGTCTGGCGATTATTACGCTATACCTTGATATGCAAAAGGCGTTCGATAGGGTCCCCCATAAACGCCTATTACATAAGCCCAAGGCTTACGGTGTAGTCACCCCTCTGCTTGACTGGCTTAAATCCTACCTAACCGGGCGTACGCAGTCCGTGAAGGTAGCACACTTTGAGTCCATCCCTGTCACAGTTTCCAGCGGGGTTGTGCAAGGCAGCGTGCTTGGACCAACCCCGTTTTTGGGTTATGTGAACGACATCTGTAGCATCCTGCGCCACGGTCGCCCATTCCTCTTTGCCGACGATATAAATGTCGTATGTGTCTTCCCACCAAGCGCCAAAGTATCCGCACTACAAGAGATCCGTGTAGACCTGAAGACCTTAGAGTCGTGGTGTCAAAATTGGCAAATGACATTCTCTGCTGATAAATCTAGTATTCTGACGCACAAATGCTCCATATCGCATAGTGCGTTTACGTTGAATGGTTCGCCCATCCAACTAAAAACGTTAGCTACTGACCTAGGTATTCGCTATTCTATGACCCTCAATTTTTCAGAGAATGTGCAGTATCAGGTAGCAAAAGCACGCAGAATGAACTTCCACATAGGCCGCCACATTAACTCGGCTGAAGCACGGTTGGAGCTTTACCGCAGTCATGTTCGTCCGCAGCTGGAATACTGCCCCTTCATCTTCAGTAATTTTGCGGAAATCAGACCGCATATTGCTCGAAAAGGCTCAGCGGCGGTTTACCAAACTAGTAGTCCCACAACGCCTAGCGCTTAGTTACCTACAGAGGTGTAACCATCTCAAACTCCAGCCTCTATGGCTGCGGCGCATAATCTTAAACGTGTGCTTCTTACATAAGTTAATATACCAAGCGGTGCACAGTGATATTCCCAGCCTGACACTGAGAAGAGGATCAGAATTCAACCTCCGAAACAAGCACTGCGCAGTTGCCCCGCTGCCAGCGAGGAAGAAACTACGTTCACGTTTCTTCCTTGTCGCTTATGTAAATATCTGGAACAAATTACCTGCACAGCTGCGGGAGATTCACAATCAACAGGCTTTCAAGCAGGAGGTACGAAAGTTTATGTGCCTGGGTAACATAAAACGCCTTTTCAACAACTGCGCTTCTGATGACAACCTTTTTGAGACCGGCCCCGATGGGGCATAGATCACATTTTGGTCTGCTCTGGCGCAACTTTGTATTGTGCTCAACTAGGCTTCATGACAGCAGCAGCTTGGGCTCACAGGTCCTCCCCATACTTTGCGGTCCCTGTCGCACCACGTGAGAGACCTCGGCCCGATCAGTTGCACCCAGCTTACAGATGTTAGGACTGATAATCCGACCACAAAAGGTATTTAGCCTACCCCAGTAGTAGCTGAGCGCTTTACTGGCTCCCACCGACACTTAGTTAAATAGGAGGTCTTGAAATAGTAGACGCTACCGCAAAGGCAACCTTGAAACACTAATCGGTAGCTCAAATCCTTTGAAAGCTCCTTCCCGACGTCCAGTTTCTTACTGCTCAACAGATCAGCACGTAAAGCAGCCTTGTACTATTGAATGGGAGCATCGTATGCCTGTAGGCACTGACCAGGTAGGATATTGCATAGCAATGGGGAAGCAATCTGAACGGACAAACTTTACTTCACTTCTTCCTTCTCTTCTACACTTTGGTTCCTTCGTCTCCATCTTTACCCCTTAGTATTTTCCAAATACCTAGTCCACTTGGTCTTTTGCGAATACTTATACTTGTGACCCATGAGTCACGTCTACTAAAAACATTTTAACAACATTAAGCCTCATGTGAAATGCCAGGTTCTAGCGTTGTTGTCCACACATATGGTGCACGCGTAAGTTACCATTTATCTGTCTAAAATAGTCGTATAAATTGCCTGCTATATAGGTATTTCTACTAGCCTACGTAATCGGCATCTACTAGTTGCCCAAAACCGATGCCCTCCCCTAGGTTTAAGTACTCGCTAATTTACACCGCTGATTATATAACAGGGCCACCTACCCACCTCGAAGGCAATATCACCATAACCTATATTCAGGCATTTACTCTCCACTTAAGCATTCTTGGCCCGTAAATTTAGTTTTACCTGAGTTATACGTATGCTTATCACTATCGGAAACGCTGGTAGACAGGCATTATGAAAAACCAAATCCTTTTCTTCAATCATTTATGCTTGCACAACAATTTTTCCGGATTCCCTTTCTCTGGCGAAAAGCTAACCATGCGGCAGTGAGGCCCCTGTCACCTGGAAAGCTAGACACCCAGATATTTTGACCACCACTCCTTCTTTCCTTGGCCGTTGGTACGTAATTTTAACCTTTACCTGGCCCCAAAGCCTACCATACGTAATGCGTAATGTTGGATGAACAACCAGCTCCCACTCGTTTTCCGTTATCTTCTCTGCTTGCGTTATATTATTGTTCATTCATTTTGCCTGACAATGTGGACGATTCCCACAAGGAAACCTCCAAGTTAATAGCTGTTTTCAATATCTTGGAACATATTTGGAACCGATCGGGAAGACATCATTTCAGAAAACTTGGTAAACGACCGGTTAATGTATTTATGAGGATACACAACGTTTCGCATTTGACACAAATGCTTCATCAGGCGAAGTGAATTATCTAAACATTGTCATTATATAGCGATCATGGCTAAACTACATACAAAGACGAATCAATTTGCAGTTCATCTATGAATGATAACAGCGGTCAAAGGTCAATATGTTCGCGGGTACACTGTAGTTTGTTTCAGTCAGGGTCAAATGGGGGAAAGAAATTGCCGGTCCGTGGATAATTGCATTGTGGTTAACAATCTTAATTGAACCGTTGCAGGGAACTTGGACACCGATAGAATTTGGCTTTAGTACTTCGGAGTTTGGTGGAGGGTGGGCCGATAGTTCATTCCGACTTGGGATCCATCCGCCGATGCTTACAAAGCTGGCCGGAGTAAGACTGGACGCCAGGCACTGGACAGCCCTACTCCGTCTATTCTATTCACGCAGTTGTTAGCCTTGGTTATTTCTATAGCCTCAGCAATCAGCCTTTGTTTGGCTGATCGTAATCCCCTCCTGATTACCTCCACATTTTCGAAGTCAATTTTATGTCCCGTGTCTAGCGCATGCATTGCTATTGCTGAATCTCTGAGTAGAGCTCCATACTCTAGCTCATTTCGCGGAGGTCGTGATATGTGTCGCCTATGTTCTGAAATCCTTGTACGTAATTCCCTCGCTGTTTGGCCTATATACACTTGTGTACAATCTTTACATGGAATTTTGTAAATACAGTTAGTTGTTCTATCTAAAGGGAGTGTATCCTTCAGGTGCACAAGTGTGGACCGTAGAGTTCGACCCTTCTGGAAAACTACCCTTATCTTCTCCTTATTCAGTACTCTCCGAATCGCTTCCGAGGTTCCTTCTTTATACGGAATACCCACTGTCGCTATCCACTCTGCGGTTGGAGTTGCGCGTGGGTTGAGACATTTCTGTAGCTGTCGTTTCACTAATCGTTTCGGATATCCGCTAGCTATTAAGTTTTTCATCGCTTCCCTCTGCGCTGCTTTCTTATCTTCTTCCTCCGTGCACAGAGCACTTGCTCTGTGAAATAGTGATGAGGCGATTCCCGCGTACACGTGCTTTGGGTGGCTTGAACTATAGCTGAGTACCCCATCTGTGTCCATTGGTTTGCGATACATCGTTGTTTTTAACGTTCCTTCCTTCCTATGTACCAGACAATCAAGGAACGGAAGTGTACCGCTCTGCGACTCAAGTTCCATTGTGAACTTTATCGCATTGTCAATAGAGTTCAAATAGTTTAAAAATTCTTCTTTTTTATCCCTTTTTATAATCGCAAAAGTGTCATCCACGTAGCGCCACCATACTTTCAGGGCACCACGGAAATTGGGTAATGCTTTCTTTTCAAACTCTTCCATGTACATATTGGCTAATACGGGGGATATTGGAGATCCCATGGCCAGACCCTGTTCTTGAGTGTACATTCTAGACTGGAATGTGAAATGAGTCATGTCAAGACACAAAGCTATCCCCTCGACCAGTTGATCCACTGTCAGCTTTGTTCTGTCCTCCAAGCTGCTGTCCCCTCTCAAGCAGTTTTTCGCTAATCGTAACGCCTCCTCCTTGGGTACATTCGTGAACAAGGAGGTAACATCGAAGCTGACCATCAATTCGTCTTGTTCGATGCTCACCCCTCGCACCATTTGTGCAAACTCATAAGAGTTTTTTACAAATGTGTTCGTTCTCCCTGTTAGGGGTTGCAGCAGGCTCGCTAGATATCTCGCGAGTTCATGTGTGGGAGAGCCTATGCCATCCACTATAGGTCGCAAGGGGACCTTGGGCTTGTGTATCTTTGGGAGACCGTAAATTCTAGGTGGAATAGCCGACTTCGGATAAATGCTGTACCATTTGCCCTTTCCTAAACTGTCCTTCACGGTCCTTAAGTAACTAGCGACATCTGATTTCTTCTTATTCATTACCGATGTAATGGATTTCTGTTTAACCTCTTTGTATGGTCCCGTGGTCAAATGCTCCTTCATGTTATCTAAATAATCTGTTTTATTCATTACCACTGTTACTTTACCTTTATCCGCTCTTGTAATGACAATACTGCTATCCTCTTTCAGGGTCTTTAACGCTGCGTGTTCAGCTGGAGCAAGATTCGATTCTACCGGCTGTTGAAATCTAATTATATTTGCTAATTGGGCGCGGATGTTTTCCGCCTTTTCAAGTGGTAATCTAGTCATAACGGGTTCAACTCCAGGAATTACATCTTCTGCCCTTAGTTTAGATTTACTGATAGTAAAATTCAGACCCTTTTCTAAAACTCTACGCTCTATTACACTTAACACTCTATCTGACATGTTAACAACGCTACAACAGTTGCTATTAGATACTTGCTTATCAGTACGACTATCGACCTTATTATGTGAAGTCATCAAGTATTCAAACTTACGTATTTGCCTTTCCTTCGACTCCCGTCCTCTTGCTGCCTTAACTTCGGAGGCCTTATCACAAAGTCTGTCATAATCAGTCCGTGCCACCGCAGTCTGTAAATCCAAGCGCAGCTGGCTCGCATGGATGCGGATTTCACCAAGACGTCTAGTTGTTAGGTAGATTCTTTGTCTCAGAAAAGCTTTGCCTGCTCTGAGTGCTATTCGTGCCGAGGTGTACGAGGAATCCGGAGGTTTAACTTTGAGGGATTTGGGGATAATGTTGTTCTTGAGACACCTGATGTTAAAAATCCGATGATTTTCCCAATTGGCTTCGATGCCTGCTAGGCGCACAAATTCACTCGCCATTTTGCGAACACGAGGTCCGTAAATGTACTCAATATCTTGGAACATATTTGGAACCGATCGGGAAGACATCATTTCAGAAAACTTGGTAAACGACCGGTTAATGTATTTATGAGGATACACAACGTTTCGCATTTGACACAAATGCTTCATCAGGCGAAGTGAATTATCTAAACATTGTCATTATATAGCGATCATGGCTAAACTACATACAAAGACGAATCAATTTGCAGTTCATCTATGAATGATAACAGCGGTCAAAGGTCAATATGTTCGCGGGTACACTGTAGTTTGTTTCAGTCAGGGTCAAATGGGGGAAAGAAATTGCCGGTCCGTGGATAATTGCATTGTGGTTAATAATCTTAATTGAACCGTTGCAGGGAACTTGGACACCGATAGAATTTGGCTTTAGTACTTCGGAGTTTGGTGGAGGGTGGGCCGATAGTTCATTCCGACTTGGGATCCATCCGCCGATGCTTACAAAGCTGGCCGGAGTAAGACTGGACGCCAGGCACTGGACAGCCCTACTCCGTCTATTCTATTCACGCAGTTGTTAGCCTTGGTTATTTCTATAGCCTCAGCAATCAGCCTTTGTTTGGCTGATCGTAATCCCCTCCTGATTACCTCCACATTTTCGAAGTCAATTTTATGTCCCGTGTCTAGCGCATGCATTGCTATTGCTGAATCTCTGAGTAGAGCTCCATACTCTAGCTCATTTCGCGGAGGTCGTGATATGTGTCGCCTATGTTCTGAAATCCTTGTACGTAATTCCCTCGCTGTTTGGCCTATATACACTTGTGTACAATCTTTACATGGAATTTTGTAAATACAGTTAGTTGTTCTATCTAAAGGGAGTGTATCCTTCAGGTGCACAAGTGTGGACCGTAGAGTTCGACCCTTCTGGAAAACTACCCTTATCTTCTCCTTATTCAGTACTCTCCGAATCGCTTCCGAGGTTCCTTACATTAACCGGTCGTTTACCAATTTTTCTGAAATAATAGCTGTTGTTATCTCCCAGTTTTCTGTTACCTTACACTGGTGAATATCACTTGCACTTGCGTCGGACACCCAAACAATAGAGTTTAGCTCCAAATAGCAACGCGATGCAGAAATGGTGTGCTTTAACACATGAGGCCCAATAATCCGTCACAAATGAGAAAGTGCAACCTCTATAAGATGAGGTGATCATGCCTAACCAAAGCGGCATTCGCGGCATTTCCTATCTGAATGCATTTCGCTAATTTTTGGACACCTCTTTCTCTATTATCAATAGAAGTCATCTCTAGCTCATTAGCATTGGTGGCACATCCATTAAGATATATAACATAAGCTCAAAGTGCTGAAACTGATAATGTTTCTCCAGGGTACGGTTGCGTTATTCTGGTCCAACACCACAGGCACTTGCATCCGACTCTCAGCTAAGAGAAATAGAGCTCTTAACTAGCAACTTAATGCACAGTCGTGTGCTTTAGCACCTGTGGCCCACTAAACAGTCATGCTTGAGATGGCGCAACCCCCAAAAGAAGTGGTATTCGTGTCCAACCAAAGCGGAACCCAAGGTGTTTCTCACCTGGACACATTTTGTGAATTTTCTCACATTAGTTGTTTATTATCACTGGAAGACCACCCTGGCTCATTATTGTCAGTGATACAACCATAATGACGTATAAAATAGCCTCAAAGAGTCGAAACTGGTAATATTTCTGTAGCAAATGCTTGCGTTATTCTAGTTCAGACGGGACAAAAGAGTTTTATGTTCCCTTGTCTTATCCATATGGACTCAGCTCATGCGGCTTTGGTATAATTTTCGCATCCACATCGGAGCATTAAAAACGTTGAATTCTACATTCACAGTGGATTCTGCGGCCCAATATACTCTGAAAATCACACATAGTCGCATTCTGGCTGTGGGCTAGCTACACCATAGCCTGTGTTGTTCTACCTATATAATAGTTCTTACAGCCTACCTAGTATTTCCCTAAACATTTTCGTCTGTTTTCCCAACTTTTACTACGTTTACTGAGAAAGTAGGCTTTTCGGCCCACTGCGTCATACTTAGCTACTGCAGCGAAGTACACGTTATCTTAGGCATTCCCAGTTACTACTCCATATTCGGAACTTATTACGCCTAGCCGTTTTTTGTATTATTTCTTTCTTTTTTCTGTATCTGCTTCCAAAGCAGAACGTGAATTTAGCGGAGGCTCGAAAATGGCGCTATCCGCCGCCGACCGCTAAAAATGCAAATATCTCCATAACCACTGCACCTAGCTTAATTATTTTACCTTTGTCGTAACCAGCGCCTAGGGTTTGTCCTAGAACGCCCATTATTGTCCCGTTTTAGTTAACTTTTCGGCTCCAAAACGGCGTCGATTTCGCTTGTTTGGAGATTTATCCTTTGAAATTCGCACCAGGTTTGCGGTTCTGGTATGCTGTTTCTGGGCTATATTTTGGCTCCATTTTCCAATATTAGTGTATTTTCTAGTTAAGTGGGCTGACCTTTCAGTCGCACTATTCTAAGAAAGGCTAAATTGTTAGCCACTACTGTTGTTTCCTTTGTTCCCACCCTCCACTTTGCTACCTAATTTTGGCTTGCTTATTCCTTTCCATGAGCCCGCTACTAATGGATGCTCGAAATGCGGTGATGTGACCAACGAAAATGGATCAAATTTCCTCTAGCGGTGCATTTTTCATCCAAAATAACACAATCCATTGCCATAATAGATTGATCGTTTACTAAGGGAATCAGGCACCTCAAGGTTTGGCAGCGGTAGCCGGTGAAAAGCGCAGAATTCGTACATAAGCTACGGAGACCCAAACTACCGCCTTCAAAAATGTCGAGGCCTACGAAACGTTTGTATTTATCCCTGCTTTACCGTTCGGAAAGATAAACACGATCAAAAGCAGTTGTTAACGATATTTCTTCTCCATGCATAAACATGGATGTTATGTACAATTTGATCTGATCCCACGCAGGAACAGCATCTAGCGCTTGTCTAGAAATATACCAATATTTATCTATATTTATATTCATCTGGCGAGCGTTTCCCCTACAAAAAGCCATAAATCTCTGTTTAACGACACTGCGACGTGTCGGATGTGACTTGCCAATCAATAAAGTCACCGCCCCAATCTTATGTTGACAAGTTGACCGTTACCACTGTTACAACTTCTGTGCACAAATTTGCTCACTTACGAACACGCCTACATATTTGATCAGTTACATGCCACTATCCTGCAGCTCTTTCCTCATGCTACACGCACTTGACCCGCAGTGTGTACACAACCTCATCTGACTAGTTCCTCATAAACATACTCCACATTTATGATCTTATTTCTTATCTCTACATCTCGCATGTTGTGGACATAGACTTCGTACAACCTTTGGGTAGTATGGGCCCACACTACCGACTCTAAGTGTACTACTCCCGCTCTCGGTGCTTATAATCATGCTAACATGTTGATGATGCCCAAAAGGCGGGCCTCATTTTTCCGAGAATAAAATATCTATTTATTTGTCATTTGTTTCCACTAAATGTTATACCGTAAGACTTAAAGAATGTTTGTTCCCACGCCTGTTCTTTGCGGCCTTGTTTGTCTCTCACCTTCCCTTTTCTCCGAGGTCCGGAACTTCTTGCATTTCTGGAATTGGACCGAGAAACCGATTTGCCCGGGACAGGAAATAACCCACAAGGGCCTACAACGAACATGGCTGTACAACAACTGGATACAAATGCACTCACTACCACGACCGTTGTTCAGTAATGATAGCTGGGCACAAGGCCTTCACACTCTTAAAAATACACATAAACCTGAAGAATACAGACGCAAGAAACTGACGTTTTGTTCCCCTGGACACTCACAATGATGGCTCTTCGTGAAGGTCACACCACCCATGGGCCTCAGCCATTATGATCGCCCCGACCGAAGATACCTCATCAGCTAACAGCGGAAATTAGGAGTCAATTGACTACGGATAACCGAGGGCGACATTAGTCGGAAAGCTGCTCTGCCAGTTTTACATTAGTGTACAAACGGATTTCTGGCAGTGTTCCAGGACGTGGTGGGTTTTCGCCTGGCAAGCGTTCTCCCTATAAAATGCCACAAATGTCCGCCTAACAACAAGGCGACGTGGCGGATGTGAATCGCAACTGAATAAAGTCACTGCCCACAACGACATACCGGCAAGTCGACTAGAATAGTAATTTTATTTTTTCCTGACACGTTCAAGAGTAAGATACCCCTGCCTACATTTATCGTTATCATTACACATGTGCTGCCCAGACTGTTTACACTACGCACGCTAGAACCCAACGTGTCGTCGTGCATTGACGACCTTATTCCTCATGATTAATTTTAAAATTTCGAAAGCCTGTACAACTTTCGGCTTACTGCAGATTGCATACATAGCAACGTGCTTGTTGCGAAACGCAGTTGCATGTAAATGTTGATCCTGCCTGGTTTGGTGTGTCTCGACAATTCGAGAATGTACTATTTATTAATTTACTCTGGAGATGACATTTGGATGGTTTATCGGCCGGAAATTTGAAACCGTCCGTAATGAGCCACCTTGGGAACGCGGCCTGACTATAGGGTTTCCGAGCAAAAAATGATCTTTCATGCTGCGTGCAGATTGTAAAAAGTTGCAGGTAAAGTATATGAACGTCCCCATGCGCCTTCTTAAGTATAAGGGGCGGAATGTCTTCTGGACTGTGGTTTGACGATGGCAGCTTGGTCGAAAACGCAAAGCGGATACTTTTCATGTCCATAGGTATCGTGCAAAAGGAATGGCTAGCAGCCACATGCAGCTCATCCCTGAGTGAGCCTGTTACTAAACGTTGAGACTACTTAAACTGGGAATCGGATACCTCACAAATAACAAGTGTGTTCTGGGTATATTTTATTAGAGCGCTTTCGTATGAAGGATATCTTTGACCATTGGTAATAATTGTGAAAACAGAGAAGCTAGCTGAGTTGCTTGGCTCCAGTGCTACTATTCCTGGCTGCCAGTACTTAAACATTATGCTTTTGCGTAGGTCTGGCAGACAACTAAGCAGCCATTGCGCTTGCCCTCATTGCATAGGCAAGTTTGAACGTCTAGCACTAGGAGCACCATAGCTGCCGCAGTCTAGTGAACAACTTTGTCTGGCTGGAATTTCTT